ATTTCCTTTCCTAGCATTTGAAAGGGAAGACAAATCTTTGGGAGCATGTATAAAATACCTATGCCTTCAAAATCTTTGGGAGCATGTATAAAATACCTATGCCTTCATTTTTTTTTTTTCTGTTCACTTACAGCCTAAGCAAATGCTAGATTAACTTTAACTTCCCTGTTTTTAACTTTGCCCTTAGAACTCCCTGTCTATTCCACAAATCAAAGCCGAGCCCTTTGCTTTGTCCCTCGCCCTGCCTTAGACTCCCACCTTGTGGCAGCTCTCCAGCGGCAGGTACACCTCAGCAGAAACCCTCTTTTAGGGCTGTAATTCCTTGGTGACAGAGGTTTTCTTTAAAACCAGGCCCCTCCTGTTCCTGTCTGGCTGCCTTGATTCTGGATTATATCTTTTCATTTGGAGTTAGAGTTGAGCCACAGTGACTAATGGGGTAATTCACTCTTTTGCCATTTTGACTTCTACCAAAAGGAAAACAAGTCTTAGAATAAAGAAACGTCGATTCTAGTGATGACTGTTAACCGCTGTGCTGTTCTACGTGGTCTTAAGAGCTTGTTCCTGTTGCTGAACTCTTTATCACAGTAGCATCATTAATACTCCTACTGTTGTTATGATCATTTGTTAACATTTGTTGAATACTTAATGGTAGATAATAATTAATAGGTAATAAGTTATTTCAGGTACTGTTTAAGTACTTTATATGAATAAATTCAATAAGTTAATGATGAAAATAATTACCCAAAAATTATATCCTCGAAACCTTTATCATTTTATTAACCAGTGTCACCCCAATAAATGCAATTAAAAATAATAATAATCACAAAAAGAAAAAGAAAGTAATTAACCACAATCTTATCTTTCCTTGCCTTAGCTCTCTATTTGTGTATTTGAGCATTTACTGTTTCTCCTTTGGTTTACTTATTTGACTGTTTCTTTAAGTGTTTAGCTATTTTCTTTGGACATTGAGTACTGCAGATTGTTCATGGCCAAGTAGTTTCATTTTTACATCTCATTTTTTTTAGGGGGAAATGCTGCCCAATCCATCAGATTATAAATCCTCACTCATAGCACTGACTGCTCATAACTGGCTACTTCGTATATCAGCAACTACGGGGAAAGTCCTTGAGAAAATATATCTTGCTTCATATTGCAAATTCAGGTATTATTTATGATTTTATTATTTAAGATTTTATAAAAATTTGAGACTCATGGCCCAGGAAATTCAAAGCTTTTTAATTTTAATTTAATTTTTTTTTTTTAAGTTTTCCATTGTATACCTGGATCTCGATTTATAAACCTATTCTCTTTTTCTCTCCTCATGACTACATTTGAAGATCTGAGGATAGAGACCCTTTATAATTTTCTTTGTATCCTCATAAGTAACCTATAGTGGTTGACAGATAAACTTAAAAAAAAATTTTGTGTTTTCCATCTACAAATAATTTTCTATATGTAGGATGCACTTTATGGTAGATTTTCCTGAAGGCTAGTCTGCCTAGTACAGTCTAAGAACTATTATTTTAACTACTAGTTTTAGAAACTAGATGCAAATTTTTGGAGTAAGTGCATTCAGAATGTGAAAGTAACTTTTTCTATGCTTTTTATAACTCCCATTTTAAAGCAGGAATGGTTGTTTTGTTTTCTAGGTTTTGAATACTGTTGGATCAAACAATTTTTATTCCTCAAAACTCTGGAAGGATTAAAATTATATATTTTTATAAGAATATATTCATATAAGGGTTGGGAGGGGATTCTTTTAGCTATTTACTTGTTTTTAAAATAAATTACTTTGCTTTTATAATTTAAGTAACTAGAAAACTTTGCTTATAAAATATTTATTATATTTTTATTTTAAGTATAAGGACCCCTGTCCTCCAAATGAATAAATTTTACTTCATTCTTTTAAAAGATACTTGAGCTGGGATACGCCTCAAGAAGTCATCACAGTCAAGTCAGCTCAGAATAAAGTCTCAGCATTGGCCCGGCAGGTAGACATCTTTAAACATTCAATACAGTGAAGAATTTCTTTTTTCCATAGGAATTTGTCTGCAGATTTGTCATGAAAGAAATAATGATCTTTGTTTTCCAAAGCATGCTATAAAAGTTGTTTACCACACATTTGAGAAATTCCCTTTAAGCCACTCTGGGATAGTACAGGTTATTTTACTTTCCATAGTAGAAAGAAGTTGACTAGATCTTGTTCTTCAAAGAAAGGAAGCAACCCTCTTCAAGCAGGGAAGTCACTCAAGCATTCATTGTCGATATTTTTTTCTCATTTCTTATAGATATGTCAGTGTAACACTACTTTCAAATGATATGACTGTGATAACTATGTGTCTTTCAATTAGGCATTTTATCGTTACATATATTAATTTATGTTATATTAATATAAGTATATATGTTAACTTGTAACATAGTGATGTATTATTATACAATATATAACATATATTTTGTTATACAGTATATAAAATGTTTTTGTTGTACAGTATATAAAATATATTTTGTTGCTAAGAAATGGTTAGTGTTATGTTTAAAGTTTTGTTCATATGTGCTAATGGCTTAATGGACATATTTTGAGCATGTACAGCTCCCTGTTTGAATAACTGCAGTGTAGCTGGATGTTTTTCAGTTCATGAAAACATCTGTAACTGCATGCTAGGACAGGTGGATGGTTTCAACTTATGAAAACAGAGTGTTTCTGAAATACTCTTGAGAGCTGCCTGTAATTTTAGTCTTTCCTTTTAGGCAGGCATTCAGCAGTCTGTCTTGCTGTACCTTGCAGTGTTCCATGTCCTACCTTTTTCACTCATAGGGATTCTAGAGATCAACAAAAAGGTAAGAACTCATTTCTGATTTAATTGCAACATTAATTTTTCGACAGTCAGATGAAATATCATCATTTAATTGTTTGTTTATTAGATGTTTTGATTGGAAATGTTCCCCTGACTGTAAAAAGCTTGCTGACCTAGTTTATTTCATTTCAAAATATATGAGAACATTTGACATGGGAAGAGAGCCTAATCACCCCTTCATCTTTCTGCATGCTTTTATCCCTCTCATGTGGATAGTGTTGAATGCTTGTGGTCATTAACAAACCACTATTTTATAAAATTATGAAACGAGTAAGGTATTTTTCCAAAGGACTATTCCCAAGTCTGTTGAAATGATCATTAAATAAAGATGAAAAGCTGCAACAAAATGCCTCATTTTAATTGCAAGGTATAGATCTAAAGCTTATGATATATAAATAAGCCTTGTAATTAAATATGTAAATTTCCAAATCATCAAGTTTTAAAATTTATTGTTTTTGCCATTCTTGATTTGTGGGTTGTTACATGGGAGGAAAAAAAGACAGATTTCCTTTGAGTGAAAGAATCAGTAATTTCCTACTTTGTTTTAAGAAAATTGTTGCTTATTCTAAGTGAATAGTTATTTGCTGGTCTGTTCCACTAGTCCTTAATTAAGCACCTAAAGTATTATTTATAGAGGACAGATCTTGAGAGCCTACAAGTGTTCATTAGCAAACAAGATGAATGTATTTTTAAAGAATTTATATTACATAAGCATAATATACTAAACTGCATAAAGCCCGAAGAATAATGTTAGTTATTTATTGTTTGTTTTGTACCAGGCAGTTTGAGCATTTTACAACATAATGTGTTGTAAAACATTACAACATAACATTATAGCATAATGTGTTCAACGAAGAAGTTAAGCGGGTAGTAAATGGAGGAACTGGAATTTTAACCTAGATTTCACTCCAAAGTACAAATCAAATTTTAAGATAGAGTGGATTCTTTATTATAGCACTCATTATTTGAAACTATGTATTACACAAGTCCTTCCTTCAAAGTGGGGTCGGAGGATCAGTGAATAAAAAGTCATGAGCTAGTCACGATCAAAGCAAAGTATGATTTACCTTCTAAGAGATAAGTGAAACGCACAACTCATGAATGTAATTGTTCTCTTTGTGCTTGTGGATTAAGTAATTGTGTATGCTAATTACAGGCTACCACAGGAATGACACGTAACAAAGTCATAAACTGTTTCTATTTATTCCCACATGTCCAAGATTATCATTTGTGGAATATGGTTTCAGTATGGTTACTTAGGATTGAAGTGTATCTTTCACTTACCATGCACGATAAGGCTACCAGGGTCCAGGCTTAGAATGTACCTTAAGCTATTTATTGGGGTAGTAAATCTTTACTAAGTAATTTTCCTTGAGTAGAAATAGAAACTCATTTTCACTTAATTTCTAGCTGTTCTTTCATTGCTGTGATTATTTGTCTATTTTGGCATTTGTGGAATATTAAAATAGGCATAGGATCAAGTTCTTCATCAGAATTCTGTGAAAAATCATGACAGGGCCCAGTGCATAGAAACAGGAAGGGAACAGTGACAAAGCCTTACTCGAATTAGCTAGATTAATGACTCAGTAGGTGTTTGGTCTTTACCTTGTTTGGTTTTTATATGATTAAAAAATTAAACACTATTAAAGATTTAAAGAACAAGGTAATGATAAAAATCTGGAGCTGGCTGTTTCTTATTAGAATTATTTTCTTAGATCCAATCGTTTCTCCTTTAATTAGCTAAAAGTTAAGTCTCTTTATAAATAACATTTCAGCAAAAGAATAGGTCCCTGACAGGATATGCATGGTAGAGTAAATATTCATTTAGAATTAGGTGGACTCGGTGTCCATGAGGAATACAGTTTGCCATGAGATCTTGACGAAACCATGCAGCAGATGGCTGAAGCGGGTGAGTGCTGCTGTGCCTCCCATCGGTGGCCGGTGTGAGACCCCGTGGCTCACCGCTCATCCTGATAACGCCTTAGCTTCCAGCTTCTGTGTCATACTTGCCTATGATTCTGGGCAGCGGTGTCGTAGTGGTAGCCGGAATATTAAGCCAGTGCACAGACCACCATGAACACTCAGAGGACGGGCCGCCTGGTCTTTTCTCAGGTGATATCTACCTTTCCCCTCAGATCTTCGGGAACGTTACAGATGCTACCTTATCTCATGGAATACTGATTGTGATGTACAGCTCAGGACTGGTCAGACTCTATAGCTTCCAAGCCATCACTGAACAGGTAGAGAAAACTGGCATTTGCCATGTCATAATTATCTTGAGGTTTGGACTGAAGTATGATGTTTTTAATGAGATGCTTTTAGAATAAGACACTTGTGTAAATTTCTCCTCTACAAAACTATACGGGAAATGCAGAAAAACAAAGTAACCTTTAAGAGAGGGGTGGGAAGATAAACATAAAGGCCCTTGGATAAGTAAAAACATTTTTTGTCATATACATGTGAATTTGATTTTTTTCTCTCTTCAGACAGCAAAAAAGTAGGTGCTAAAGAAACTATTTTTGTTTTGTTTTGTTTTTAGTTCATGCAACAGAAACTTGACTTAGGGTGTGCATGCAGATGGGGTGGGACTACTGGAACTGTAGGAGAGGCTCCTTTTGGCATTCCTTGTAATATTAAAATCACAGGTATGGCTACTATATAGTATTTATTTCACCTTTAAAAATAAGTGGTCATGTAATAATTAATTGTAATCTTCCAAATGTTTTTCTTATAATTTAATTACAAACTCAATTCATTTTACTCTTATACAGCATACTCCCTGCTATTGAATAGGTGTCAAAAAAATCTATTTCATTCATTGAACTGGAGGCTTGGAGATGCTGAGCCTTGCTTGGCCAGATATCAGTGCTCTTTGGCAAGTTGCTTAACCTCTCTAGTCTGGATTTCCTTATCTGAAAAAATGATGAGTTGCAGCAACTGTTACTCTCTTTGCCTCCTTATCACTTACTGTTTTGCAATTCTATACAATTTACCCACTTCTAAGAAAGGTATTTTCCAAGGAAAATATAATTACCATTCTGTAGAGCTTAGACACAGAGAGAACCCGCAGTATACTTAATGGTTGACAAAGCACAAAAAAGAAAATTATACACAACTCTATAAATATAATGCAAATGTTCTGTATTTAACTAGCTTATCAAATTCAGCAGTTTAATAAAAAAGAAATGAAATATTACTCAAATTCAGCAGTTTATGTTAAAAGAAATAAACCATGACTGACCAGAGTTCATCTTAGAAATATAAGGATGATTAATGTTTGGAAAGAGATATTAAAATCCCATGAGTAAATTTTAAAATAAAATATATTTATTATCCTGATATCTGTTTATTTTATTCTTAGTTCATTATGAGCCATTCCTTATTATATTGAGAATGTTTCCTTTTATTTCCAACTAATAAACTTCACATTTTTAGGTAAAACTACAAAGGGTTTTCTAATATAGTCAGAATAAGACAATAATTTTTTCCCTGTCATTATTTAACATCATATCATCAACAGATCAGGAAATAGAAATAGATTTAATTGTTTGAAAGATGTTCTTTTTAGTAATAAATGACAAACTCTAAAAACTACTGAGCTCATGGACATGTACAACAGTGTGGCGATTGCAGGGGATGGGTGTGAGTGGAGGTGGAAGAGGGTTGGGGGGATAAATGGTGATGGGGAAAAAATAATAAAGAAGAAAAAAAACTACTGAGAGTTCAATATAACCAATTAAGTGCTCCAAGATTTTAAATGGGTTGGACCAGCTGAATTAGGCAGGTTTGTGAAAACTCAGCCCAGCAATACTTCTTATATTCAGTACAAACAGTCCTGCAGGAATCTATTAAGCATTTTAAACTGTAGACTCTAATGGTAACTAAAATGTTATTTTGAAAAGAATTTCCCAAAATGGTAGCACTATTCTTTTTGAAATGCAGATGAGTTCATAAAACAAAGAATAGGTGATAAAGACAAAGCACACCGAGTCTGAAGGCTTGTGCTGTGGGCTAGGTAGGTCCCTGTTTGTAGTAACAGATCTGGATTTGGGATCAGAACCTTGGCCTGCCACTAGTAACAGTGACACCTGGCTATCAGCTGGTGGTGTGAAAGTGGGCAAATTACCTAACTTCTCTGGGCCTTACTTTTCTCAACTTTAAAACAATAATGTTTGAAAACATGATCTGTGAAATCAGTTGTCAGTGATAAAACATAAATCGGTTATTTTCAGACATTTGGCTAAGAAAAGTAGCATGTTTTATTGGAAAGTTTGTGTGGGGTTTTTTTCAATCTGTAGAGACTGAAATCCCATTCATTTCTCCAAATTTATTTTCCTAGGATCATTAAGGTCTGTACAAAGTAATATTTGTTTTAACTTTAAATAACTTTTTTTTCTTAATGCAAAGCAGTTCATTTTTCCTACAGAAAAAATAGAAAATGAAAATAAATGAAATAGAGAAAATTTAAATACTCATAGTCCTCCTGTATGGGGTTAACTGTTATCACCTTAGTGTGTTTTTTCTTATAATGTATATATTTCTATATATCTAAAACTAAAAATCATACTGTGAATACTCTTTCATAACTTGCTTTTTAAAAAATCAACTTTGTTGAGGTATAATTTACATGCACTTAAATGCACTCATTTTAACTATATTTGAGTTCTACCAAGTGTATATAACCATGAAACCACCACTACTACCAAGATTTAGAATATTTTATCACATCCAGAATGTCCCTCTGTGCGCTTCCTGGTCAGTGTCCTCCGCAGCCCCAGCCTTAGGCAACCAATGATCTGCTTTCTTTCACTATAGATTAAATTTCTATTTTCTAGAGTCCCATATAAATGGGATCATATGATATTACTTTTTTTGTCTGGCTTCTTTCATGCAGCGTATTACTTTTGAGATTCATTTTATATTGTTGCATGTATCTGTAGACTAACTCGCTTTTAAATGTTAATATATTACAAATATTAAGATTCACTTATTCTATTATATTATTTAATAGATGGTCTTGTGAAAACAAAGTTGTAGTTTTATCTCACTCTTTACACCAAAATAAATAATAGATGGATCAAGATTCAAAGTTTCTATAAGAAAACTTGGGAGAAGATTTTTATTTCAGAGTGGAGATGACCTTTCTAAGTATGACACAAAACCCAGAGTCATAAAATAATGGATTGATAAGTTTGGTTACATAAAAATAAAGTTCTACATTGCAAAACAAACAAAAACAGACAACATAAACCAACTCAAAAATCAAACAATGAACAGGACATATTTGCAAAACATACTATAAAGGGCTAATTTTCTCAATATGTAACGAGTTCCACAGATAAATAAGAAAAAGTGATAACAACATGAGCAAAGGCTATTGTTCAAAAGAAAAGGAAGTATAAATGACTTGTCATTGGTGGGGGGACAAAGCCCAATGTCACTGATAAGAGAAATGTATAATTAAAATTATCATAAGATACATCTTTTCAAATTCTGAAATATCAAAAATTTAGATAACAGGGTTGGTGAAAGTGTAGAAGAGTCACTTTCACTTATTGCTGGGGCCCTTTATGGAAGACAATTTTGTCAGTGTGTATCAAAAATTTAAATATATATACTTGAACAATTCCATTTCTAAGAATTTATCTCAGATATATTCATGTGTACAAAGTGACAAATGTAACTATCCCTTATGTTTAAAAAATTACAGAAAAATTATCTCTTATTTTAGCCATTCTTCGTTTATAAACAATACAATAACACTTTATGTTAAAACTCCCCTTTGAAGTATCATTGTTTGACCTTTCACAGACTCAGGGCATTATAATTAATAATTATTATTACTTTCTTTTTAATGCCTCTCTTTTTACAGTTTAACCAGTAGGAGCCCCTTTTGTTGGCTCTCTTACTCTTTTAACACCACCCAGACATCCTTGTACATACCCTTTATTGTGACAACTGGATGGCTACACCTATCCTAAAATTTCCTTACCACAAGACATGGAATCAGCTACTGTCTGAGAACTTCTAGGACATTTTTAAATAATTGAGACTAGTATTAGATCAAAATTTGGGCTCTTTGTTGAGGTATAATTTACATGCACTTAAATGCACTCATTTTAACTATACTTTTTGAGTTGTGGTAAGCAGAGTCCTGCTGCTACTTTTGGGCCATTTTTAGCAACTGCTGGGAAAAATATTTCTTTTTAAATACATCTTTTTGCATTGATCTTTTAAAAATTTCAAAAACCTCTTTTATATTATCTACAACATATCTACTTAAATTTTAATCCCAAATTTAAACTCTTAATTATATTTTTCTTTTTATAATTTCTCTTTTCCCCATCCACAATTATTTGGTAGCCACCATATTATTGCATATGATGTTTATATTTCTCTCATAATTTACTCACTGACGTCCGTTTTCCATTTTTCTATTGGGGTGCTCATATTTTTCTTATTACTTAAAAAGACCTCTTTATATATTAAGAATATTACCCTTTTCTTGAAAGATTAAAAAACATTTTAAATATATTTGATATGTTTATACCTGTCTCTTCTTTCTCCTCAAGATTGTCAGTTTGTGAACTTTTTATTATTTGTGTTTTCCTACGTATAGTAGTAAGTCATACATATGAAGAGGCCTAATAAAGCACACATTTCTATCATAACATGACTCGAGTAAATGCTCTCCCTAAGATAAGCCCCTTTGCTGGCAGTGGTGGCCTCATAAACCAAAGATTAAACTCTCAAGTAAAGGGGTAAACAAAGGAGTCATAGATGACTCACCTGCCCAGACAGACCCTGTGGTGGTTCACAAGGCTGCCCAAAAGGAATTCTGATCTCCTAAAGCTATTGTGCCTTCCGCTCATGTGTTTCTTCTATAAGAGTAAATCTGTTACAGTCTACCTAAAATTAATTGTCATTGAAGAAGAAAACTAAGAAACACCAACAGATATGGGCATACCTCGGAGATACTGTGGGTTTGGTTCTAGACCATCACCACAAAGCAAGTACAGATATACCTCAGACATACTGCAAGTTCGGTTGCAGACCACCATATCAAAGCAAGCATCACAATAAAGCGAGTCAGAGTCTTTGCTGGTGGAGGGTCTTGCCTTCAGTTTGTAAAAAAATGTAGCACCTGTGAGGCACAGTAAAGCAACATGCAATAAAATAAGGTGTGCCTGTATTATATGGTGTCAATGTCCAGAAGACAATGACTGACTGGATGTATCTAAACTACCTTAAAGTTAACTTGTCTAATGATAATATGTTAGTACTCAGTACCCTTTAATTAAACTTCCAATGACAGGGCCCGTCTTAGCTGGTTATATTCACTGTGACTAATATCACTTCTATACTGGAAATCGTAAGCAAGAATGCTCTTGTAAAGTTTGAGTTCAACCTGTTAGTCTAGATCATGGGAGATGTCTTCCTCCATTTGAAGGAATTATTAGACCTAATTACCTTGCAGTATTCTTATGAGAGCTGGAAATAGTACATAACCCAGTCTCGTACAGGGCAGATGCCTACTAAATGGCAGCCGCCTTCATTGGGCATACTTTGCCATTTTTGCCATCATAAGCACCTGCAGCCCACTTTTTATCTCCACTCAGCTACAGGTTGTACATACCCTGAAAACAGATGTCTAGAAAGTTGACTCATGGCCTAACATTTGTTTCCTGCCAGCTTCCTCTTTTTTTTTTTTAAAACATATCTTTATTGATTTCAGAGAGAGGAAAGGAAGGGGAGAGAGAGAGAAAGAGAAACATCCATGATGAGAGAGTCATTGATCGGCTACGCCCGCAACCCGGGCATGTGCCCTGACCGGGAATCGAACCCTGATCGCCTGGATCCTAGGTCGATGCTCAACCCGAGCCACCCCCGGCCAGGCCTGCTTCCTCTTTTCTTAGCAATAAGCCTCTTTCCCAATTGGATTTTATTTTCTTGAACACAGTAATTTTTCATTGATGGAAACTCATAGATGATGCATGCAAAGAAAGGTTGAACTCAGTTAATGAGTGTTCCAAGGCTACCAGAACAGAGAAAGCTAATAAATTCCTTTTGCCCATCTCTACAGATGCGCCACCACCGCTCTTTGAGGTAGCCTCCCTGGAGAATGCCTTTCAGATTGGAGGCCACCCTTGGCACTACATCATCACACCTAATAAGAAGAAACAGAAAGGAGTTTTCCATATTTGTGCCCTTAAAGACAATTCCTTGGTAAATCATGAGTGATCAGACCTTTTAGTAGTAAATTCATATCTGAAATTCTTTATTCTCTGCTTTTCTAATAGGTTATTGCTCCTGACTCACTATTTTGTTTGTGTTAATTTGTGAATAACGTATGGGATAGAAGAGTACAGAGAATATAGCAAAGGCTTGTGTGTACTGCCTAGAATTGAAAAACATTAGCATTTGAAAATTCTTAGGGCACTGGAGATTACTTAGGTTATTTTTCTTACTGGTCTCCCAGCAGGGGATCCCATGAAAAATCTTTGAAGCCTCCTGGTGGGAATCGTTGCTGAGTTATGTCCAGGCTGCCTGTGAAATTGCTGGTGGAATGTGTTGTTGGTTCTGCTTTTTCATGGTTTGTTGCTATTTGCTTTCCAGAACAGAACTGGGTAGAACTCTGATGTTCACAATGTAAGCCATGAGACACTTTGAACTTTTAAGGCTATTCTTAAGTTATTTATGGCAAAATAGGAAGAAATGGTACATGGTAAGACAATAGAAATTTCTACCCATTAAATCCATTTTTCTTCATTTAAAAAGTGATTTAGTCATTGGTTTATCATTTATTAAATGTTATTTAGGGCCTACTGTGTGCCAGACATGGCCAGGATACATTTCCTTTTCCTCAAGTTTCTTACACTCTCAAAAGAAAGCAAATATGTAGATAAATTTAGAGGCTGTCGCATAGCAGCATCCAGACCCAGAGCCCACAGCCCCAACAGAGAGCCCTTGGACAAAGCCAGTGGCTGAGCCTTACTTGTCCCACCTGGCCCTGCCTGCCTGGGGTGACATGCCTGGCCTGTCAGTATTTATTGTCTCCCTATGTGCTGTCCTCTTGGCCCCCAGGCCTGCCCCCTCTGCCCCCAGGCTCCATGCTACCATCCCCCAGCAGGCCCTCCCCAGACTCAGCCAGGACAAGTGAGGGACCAAGTGTGCACAGTCGGAGCTGTCCCTGTGCCTCCCCCCACTCCTAGGTCAGGCCCAGGCTGGAATGCATGGGAACCTGTCCCTGCTTCTCTTCTGACCGGGAAATAAACTCCCCCTAAGAAGAAGAAGAAGGAAACCTGATTGAAGTAAATGCAAAAGAATGAGTGCACCGAGGAGGGGGGGTCCACCCTTGTTCCGTGTTGCTGAATACGAAACGATTTAGTTGTATTTATTTCTGGAACCTCTTGATGTATCAAATGAACTTACTTTTCTGAGGCAGACTCAGCTTAGTCCACATCCATCTCTTCCAGGATTTTGCTCATTGTTGCTGTTGGACCTAGTGGCTTTTAGAGTCAAGGTCACCTTTTACCTTGCTGAAGATCGGCACAGTCTTGGGTTCGTTATATATTTCCCTTGATGTCATGGCCACCAGGGAACACTCTGTGTAGTGTCTTCTGGTTTTCTCTCTGTTTTTTCATTTACATACCTCGTATGGGAGCTCCCGTATGGCTCAGCCCAGTGACATCCTCTTTTACGATGCACTCTCAAGGGTCAGTGCCCTACCACAACAAGTCTGGTTTGGTCGTTCACCTCCTAGACAGAGGACATCCTCCAGCCAATAGGACCTCTCATATCTCTTTTGTACTCAATTTTTCCTTCTAGTCAAACTTTACACAGTTCTCATTCTGGACATTTGGTACATATTCTTCTTATATAAGAACTAATAGTACATATTCTTGTGTGTGTGTGTGTGTGTGTGTGTGTGTATAAAATGGCCTTCAACATCCATATCAAGCATGCCTGTCACATACCCTCCTTCTATAATAATTGATTATATGATAAACATTTAGTCAAATCCGTATTTTAACATTCATAAATCACCAAATCCAGGGGAAGTTTCAGTCCTTTTGCCAGATGCAGTGACATACAGATGCATATGCCCATTACCTCCCTACCTGTCAGTCAGAAGAGTAGATGACCCAAAACACATATGCACCCAAACTGAACAGTTCAGAAAATGTTTCACAGCCTTCTATTAAACTGAGCTTTACAATCTAGCGTTTGAACAAATAATAAACACTACAAGTTGGTAATAATGCTGCCCAAAGTTTAATACAGAGGGATAATGTTTCTTTTGTGTGTTATTGATATTAAAGAGAATAGTTTCCTGAAGAAAGATATGTATAGTATGTACATGTTTTATATTGCAGGAGCATCTGGAGCTAATCCTTCATGGACACATTAATTTCAGTGGTTGTAGCCAACATGTTTAATTGCATTGATTTTTTTGTAAAATGTAGTAATACCGTCATTCCTATTAGGATGTTTATTAAATTCTGAAAAATTAAAACTCATCCTCTAATTTGATACATAAAATGTGTTAAATTCAAATTTTTAGAAAAGCATGGCGTATAAAGCCCTTGTGATGTGGCCCCAGCCTCCTCCTGACTCATGGCTGGACACTATACTCTTCAGCTTAATTTTGGCTGCTGCTCGTGTTCATGCACATATATGCATGTGGACGAACATTTCTGTGCTTTGATTTTGCTGTCTCTTTCTAGCCATTTTCTGCTCATCCTTTAAGGCCTGGTTTAAGCTTTTTTCCTTCCTGAAATTCCGCTCACCTGGATTGGATGTTTGGTAGTATCCTGTGCATGGCTTGGTCACTTTGTTTTCTGCTGCCTTATTATTCTCTGTTTATTTTTGCCTCCCCTCTTGATTGTGGGCTTCTTGATGGCAGGATTATGTTAAATTCATGGCAGGTACAAATTCCTAGCATGACACCTAAAACATAGCATGCTCTTAATATATGCTAATGGAATAAATATACTAACTGATATTTCAGAAACTTTCATGAGTATCAAATAGGAAAAATGGTATAACTTCATTTTTAAATAGGAGAAATTAAAGAATTTAAATGACTTTCATAAAACTAGTGAAGTTAATGTATTCATGCTGGTATGAGTTCCCAGTGCTCCTGTGTATAAGGTAAAGCATTTATGTATATATGTGGTCACATATCATAAAGGTATCTTTATCTTCATTTTAGTATCTAAATATATTACTGTGAAATAAATGTATCTACATGCCTTAAAGGCTAAGCAGTAGTAGACTATTTCCTCAGCATTTGAGTTTAATATCTGATTCATCCAGGGAGATCATATGACCTGTGTCTGAGGCTTTAGGTTTGGTTGCATGTTTATTTTCATGCTACCCACTCTTCTGTGTGACAGTTTGTTAGGAGTGGGAAAGTGAGGAAGAAGTTGTAGGGAACTGCGTGAGCATACTCACATAGGGAACTGTGGGGCATACTCATATAATGGAAAGTCATGGACTTTGGAGTTGGATCCGCTGTTTAGTAGATGCAAAACATTGAGTGACTGATTTACACTCTTTGTTTTATCCCCCATAAAGTGGAGATAACAATATATGCTTTGATGATGTTAAGATCAAATGAAATAACAACTGTAAAACATCTAATGCAGTGCCTGACATAAATTAGGTGTGCCTGAGATATGGTGACTAAGTTATTATTTGCAAAGTGTAATGTATGGTATAGGGTAAATATATGAAATTTCTGAATTTAAATGTTCTGGATTTCTCAAGTTTGAGTGTCCTAATTCAGCCCTTTGCCATATCCCCATGCAACTAGTTAATATTTTCTCTTTCCTGACTTTCTTTTTTTATATATATCTTTATTGATTTCAGAGAGAGGAAGGGAGAGAGAGAGGGAGATAGAAACATCTATAATGAGGGAGTCGTCTTTGATCGGCTGCCTCCTGCATGCCCCCGACGTGGGATCAAGCCCACAACTCGGGCAGGTGCCCTGACCGGGAATTGAACCGCGATCTCCTGAACCCTAGGTCGATGCTCAACTGCTGAACCACTCGTGGCCAGGCATCTTTCCTGACTTTAATTTACTCATCTGTCACAGCTGTTAGATTTGAAAAATTATTTTATTTTAATCTTTATTTTCAATATTTTCCCCCCAACTTCAGGCTAAAAATGGGATCCAAGAAATGGAGTGCTGTTCTCTAGAATCTGACTGGATCTACTTTCATCCTGACGCTTCTGGGAGAATAATACATGTTGGCCCAAAGCAGATCAAGTGAGTGTTTCCATCAGTTACTTTAAAATTAAAAGTAGCCTTTGGTAGCATTCATTGGCATCTTTATTTTTTTGCCAGCTAACTAGTGAGCCAATTATGGTAATGATTAGCTGCCTGTAGGGTGCTTTCTCAGAGACTGACATCTAGAAAGCCTGACTTTATTCCTTTTGGCCTCATCACTGACTGTTTGTAAATACTGCATTTTGATAAACTCTTGATGGATGGAATGTGAGTGAAAGGTGGCAGATTGGCTCTTCCTCGTCAGGTCTTAGTTCTCCGGGATTAATGAGAACGAAGATGATTTGTCTTTGTTCTAAATGACAGCCTGACCATGGGAGAGGCAGCAGATTGTTTAAAGTAAACCTTGTTTTGCTCTGCGTACCCACATCTTCCAAGAGTTGCCCTCTCCTTCCTGAAACATTCTTCATTTGGCTTCTCTGACACCACAGTTCTCCTACTGTGTTCCTCTCTGTGTGACCTGCCCTTCTTAGTTTACTTTCATGCTCTTCTACTCAGACTTTACTTGTTAGATGTCCTCAGGATTTGGACCCGCCCCCCCTCAGGATTCTATATTCCCTTGGCTTCCTAGCCCGCACCTCTCATCTAAGATCATGTTAGAAGTCTGGAATCATTCTGAGAACTTTCTTTTTTTTTTTAAATATATCTTTATTGACTTCAGGGAGAGGAAAGGAGAGGGAGAGAGAGAGATAGAAACATCAATGATGAGAGAGTCTTGATCGGCTGCAGCCCGCAACCGGGCATGTGCCCTGACCGGGAATCGAACCCTGATCGCCTGGATCCTAGGTCGATGCTCAACCACTGAGCCACGCCCGGCTGGGCGTGAGAACTTTCTTACCTTCTTTTCTCTCTCTCTCTCTCTCTCCCCCTCCCTCTTTCTCAAGCTCGCACACACTCGTATACCATGTATGCTGTCACTGCAGTTTATTTTGCTACTAAATATATCTTAAATCTGCCTCTTTATGCCCTTGGCTACTGGCACCATCTTGGCCAGACCATTGTCATCACTAGCTTGGGCCATAAGTAATTTAATAGCATACTTACAGGACTCCAAATATACACTTTTGCACTCTTTAAGGCTGTTTTCTTCTCAGCAGCTAAAAGTGATTTTTAGAAACATTGACAAACACAAAACCCTAACCACTTAAATTCTGCTTTACCCTTTTTATGGCCCCTTATTGCTCTTGGCATGGTCTGAAAGACCCTCGTCCAACTCAGTTTACTTCAGCTATGCTCTCTTTTCAGAAAACCAAGGACCTGGTTCCTTTGTTTGGAGTCTGTTTCCCTTAGCTATCATCCTACCTAATTTCTATTCATATTTAATGCCCCATCTTAAATGTTCCTTTTCACAGTCCTTTCCTGATACCCTGTTAAATTAGCACCTCATCGTATTTTCATTGTTATATAATCTTCCTCTGTAGCACTTACAGCAATATTAATTAATCATTTGTGTGAATATCTGTTTAAATATCTAGCTTTGGAATCATGAACTTCATAAATACAGGGAAAGAGTCTGTTTTTCTGATGCCTATAATCTCAGCACTGAGCGCACAGATTAAGGTGCTTAGTAAGTGTTTGCTGAAGAAGGGCGGTGTCTGCCTTCTTTATTCATTATGCTCCATGTGCATTAGTCTGCTTGTCTGGATTGAGTATAAGGAGGATGACTGGACTTCATGAAATAAGGTTATGAACGTTTACAAAAAGTCTTAACAACTGTGACTCAACTTTCGTAAACCTTACTTTTAATGTTTGTTACCACCCATCTTTTAATACTAGCTTGCGTTTAAGAAAATAAAGTCCACAAAAAGTGTGTGCCCTTTTTCCAGGTTTTAAAAGATAGACACCATAAAATATTGGCACTAATTAAGATAACCAATTGAGTAATTTAAAATTAATCTGATTTCTTTGTCTGTGGCAAACTCTAAGTCCTCTGGCTCTTCCTGGCCTCAGTTGCTGCTTCTCCCTGCTGCTCATTTTGCTTGCGTTTGAGATTTTAAGCTTTGAGAACATTGTGCTTTTGAAGCTTGTTAGTGCTGTGAACAGATTTGTGTGGATGGCGAGCAAATTATTTTATTTTTTCCTGATCCAGGGAGAACATTTGCACTAGAAAACCCAAATCATTAAATATAATCCTAAGAAAAGGGAAAAGTATGAAGTCAGTGGCAGTTTTTAAATATTACTCTATCATGAAAACTCGTAGTTTAGGCTTAGTTGCTAACCCAGACTGTTAACTAAAGTGTTATTCATTGATACCTTCAGAAATAACAATGCAGATATCTGCGGGCACACCTCAGAGATGTTGCATGTTCGGTTGCAGACCACTGCAATAAAATAGTATTGCAATAAAGTGAGCCTTAATCTTTTTGCTGGTGGAGGGTCTTGCCTTCAGTTTGTAAAAAAAAAAAAAAAGCAACATCTGTGAAGCGCAACAAAGTGAAGAGCAATACAACAAGGTGTGCCTGTCCTATAAAGCCACCATTAGAGCTGAAACGCTGAAGACCTGCTGCAGGGTGGCAGAGCTGAGGTTTTTTAAAGAGTACCTTTCATTAAGCCAGTTTGGAAGATGGCTTAAGCCTGAGCATGCTACTTCATTACCTACCTCAGTAGCACCTGTTGTCCCCGTTCCCACTTTTCTGTTGAACAAAATCCCTGAATTTGAAAGACTTTATGGCAACCCAAGTGGTTGGACATTAGTATTTCAGACTAATCAGGAGAGGAAAACTAACTCAGTGTTGCTACTGTAATTTCCATTTGTTGAGCTTCATTTCAGTAGTTCAACTTTGGCATGTTGATGGTGCGTTCAAGTCTTAGGTTCTTAGAGTCCTTTTTCTCTTTTCAGAGTTTTAAAGCTGAATGAAGTAGAAAATAATAGTGCCCAGCATCAGATCTCTGAAGATTTTGTCATTTTGGCCAAGAGGGAGAATGGAGTAAGTCAGGAGCGCTTTAAAGTCCTTTGTATACCACTGTCTTTCTGTATAAGAGCGTGAGAGCGCTAATGTGTTTGCCTTTTAGTGTGGCTGAAAACAACAGAACGGCCCTATAAAGGTCTGTTCATTTTGTCTGTGTGGGCGGCTGGTCTTAGCCTCGTGTACATATGACATTTGAAGAAAGTTGATTATATTGAGTTTATTTTTTGCTTCTACTTCCTTTCTGGGTTGATGAATTATCTACCTTTGGGTTTAATTAATCGTACAACCTTAGAGTAAGTTGGGGTAGATATAAATCTTTAAAAATCACATACCATACTTTAACTCCAGCTGGTTCTTTTCCTTTAGTGTACAAACTGAGACTATGAAGAAAATCATGCAGAGGAAAATTTCCACAGGCAGATCCACTGCATTTGCTGCCTGTGTAATAAAGCAGAATCAGAAGGGCGAGTGAAGTAGAAATCTGTAACCATTGTGTTTATTTTTGCCTATTTTAATACCCATTAAAAACTTTACTGTAACAAGTATTTTTACTAATTGGAGGATCAGAAATCTGATTCCGAATTTTATCAGTTGAGGACAGAACTGTGGCTGTTGGAGAAGGATTGGTTAGTTTTACCAAATTTGCTAATATAATTTTGTTATTAACTGCATGTACTAGGATTTGTTATATCTTTTTATTTCTCTCCATATCATAGAATGAAAATGTACCCACTGTTACTGCTTCTGGACGGGTGGTAAAAAAAAAATTTAACCTTCTGGATGACGACCCAGAACAAGAGGTATTACTTTAGCCAGAGATAGCAAACCAAATTACTGTGTACTTGCCTTATGGTTTTTAATTATGCTTCCCAGACCCTGGTAGCGTTTGGGGGTGGGCACCATGCAGGCTGAGTCGGTAGGACTGGGCATACCATTTCAGCCAGTGCATCCCATTATTCTCTCTTTTCAGATTGGAGTTATTCATATGATTTTATTTGCAGAAAGGTTCATAGGACTGAAATAATTTGAAAATATCGTTAGCCTGTTGTTTTGTTAATGTGCATACTTTCCAGGGACATCTCTTAATAGAAAATTCCTGAGTTGCCTCCTGATAACTTTATGGCTCTTGCCTTATTTTGTTTCCTACTGGACATGGATGGATATGATTGTTAATGTTCATGGGCCGGGGGAGGAGGGTATGAAGCTGCAGTAAATCTGTCTAGCCTCCGGCCCCAGCTTGATAGCCAGTCACTGAGCTCTTGCACATTCACCCCTTTCTTTTAAAGAGGCTTTTGAAGGACTTTTGAAATCAACTGACAGTTACCGTGCTTCAAATAAATAACCAGCGTGTGAATACTAAATCCATTTAGACCATAAAACTATATTGTTTGTGTGACTATTTCTGGGTAGAAATATTAGAGCAGCCTTCTAAGGATAGTGGTTGGAAATTTTTAAAAACGGTTGGAGGTTGCCTAGTATGTGGCTACTGTCAAAAAAGAAAAAAAAAATACATTTATTCTTTTGAACCACAGAAATCTGTTGAGAACGAAGCAGAAAGCCCCCTACCCTGTATATAAAACTATAGTCAAGAAAGACATACTAACACTACCAAAAGGCGTCAAGAATAATTAAGGGGAAAGAAGTAGTAGCAAAGAGAGATACTCTACATCGTGAGATGAGAAAACAAAGACTTTGAGCCTGGAAAGGAAAAGTTGAAAGGGGTCGTGACTAAAATCTATAAAATCACTGACACCCACACAAGTCACCTTTGAAATTTGACCAAGTTTAGATTAAGGCAACAAAGTAAATGAAAAGGAGCCACGGGTAATAAAAACCTATGTAAATTTATTTAGGCGGTAAAGGCAAAAAATATAAATGGGTTAGCAAGCAGTTTGACCAAATGTAAGTGGAGGGTTTGTATGTGGTGATTAAGAGAAATTGGCTGTGCCTGCCAGACGTGTCTCTCTGGTCTGTCCCTGATGGCTGGGCACAGATCTGCTTCCGCTGTGAGGCTGTGGAGTCCCAGGTTTTCTTCCCTGAGATGGAGTTCGGGAGCTAGGTTTTCCTCCCTTAAGTCTTTACCATCATTAGTCTAACCAACATCTCTTTTCTCACTCCTGTTTTGTGGGCTGGATTTCAGACCTTAATATTCTCCCTCAAGTATAAGCAGCAGTCTTTTGCTTTCTTTAGAGAACCAAGAAGGGTTTGAAAAACATGATGAAAATAGTCATGAGTAGTGTTCGATGGGCCATCAGTTCTTCTTGAAATGACTTGTTCTTTCTGTCGTGAGAGCCTCCCGAGCACAGTGGGCAGTTTTCAGGTTCAGAAATGGGCTCTATATATTCAGTTGTATCTGGGAACCAGTGAACACACATCAGAGACAGCAGTTGAATGCCTCTTGAATTTGGAGAGTCTCTGGTTTGCTGTCATAATAGAGAACTTCAGTTATAGTTTGGCTGAGATGTACATAAACGTGGTTCTATTAGTCAGAATCTGTAGGATACTTCTTAAGTCTTGAAAATCTTGAGACTAATGTTTTACTAAGCATATAGTAGAGACACATTTCTCCCTATGTTCCCACCCATTCATTCTTTTTCCTACATATTTTCATAAGTAATAGAATAGTTGAACTACAAATGTAGAGATAATCCTAACTGAATAACTGGATTTGCCTGTCTTTTCTCTGCTTTACCCATCTATTCCCCAAGACTTTCAAAATCGTGGACTATGAAGATGAATTGGATTTGCTTTCTGTGGTAGCTGTTACTCAAATAGATGCCGAAGGAAAAGCTCACCTCGATTTCCACTGTAATGAATATGGAACTTTACTTAAAAGCATTCCACTAGAGGAGTCATGGGATGTGGTGAGTAGAGTTCATGGAATGCAAATTATAGGAGTTCTCTTTATAGGTGACATGTATTGAAACAGATGTTACTATGTTTGTGTTAGTCCAAGCTCACCTAGACCAATGACCACATGAAAGAGGTTATTGGACTACGTGCAGGACAAAATGAGTACTTCTTAAGACTTCATCCCCTAGGGAGTAGAGGATGTTGCCTTACCAGTGTGGCCTTAAAGACATGCTGTCTATTTCCTTACCATAGTCTTCGATTTTCTCTCATTTTAAAAGTTTGGTAATATTAAAGAAAATAAAACTATACTGTATTGAATCCCCACAGTTATTTAATAGAGACCATATCTAAGCATGTAGGGTTTCCAGGCACTCTTGAAAGCATCTGTCTACCTTTTTTTTTTTTTAATTTATCTTTATTGTTGAAAGTATTACAGATGTCCCCTCAGTTTTCCCCATTGACCCCCCTTCACCCCACTCCTGCCCACATTTGTCTACTCTTCTATTATAGAATATAAAAGTTATAAGGAATAGTGGACATTATTTTATCCAATTCTTGTTTTATCAGCAGAGATCTTGAGAGGTTAAGCAACTTGCCCACCATCACACAACAAAATAGTTGCAGTGTTGGCAATAGAATCTGGGTGTTCAGACTGCTAAGTCCAGGACTCTTTTCATCCTCAGGATTCGGTGTCATGCTTTTCTTATAAGTAATCTGCATATCCACAAAAAATTAAAAATAAACTATTTCTGGCAACTATTTTGCCTCCAAGTGTGTATTTGAAGATCCGCAGCTTAGGTGCTGAGGCATTTTAGTGACAAGTAGTAAATACAGTTCTATGAAGAGGAGATTCCATTTGACTGTGTTTTCATTGCAGACATACAGCCATGAAGTCTACTTTGACAGAGACTTGGTCCTGCACATAGAACAGAAACCCAGCAGGGTCTTCAGCTGCTATGTTTACCAGATGGTATGTGACCCTGGGGAAGAAGCAGCCTCAGACAGAAGCTGAAACAAAGTGTGAGAGAATTTTAAATTTTGAGGCGTAACTCATAAGACTTTTAGCCAGACACCTCAGCAACTGTGTCCAGTCCTCCTCTTTATTATCTGCATAGCAAGTTCTCCAGTATTTTCCAGAACAGATCTTGTGTAGACTCCAGATGACTGTGACTTCTTTTTTTAAACTCTTGCCATACAAGGTGGTGAGAGCTTCATTTTACGTAAGGGATTTTTAGAATGCTCTCCCAAGAAGCCTAGCATGTTAGAGGTTTTAGATAGGTGGTGATGTAAACAGAAAATGTTGAGAACAGCTTAGTTAATTATTGGGGAGAAGGTCATTGATGGGGAGGTGCTTAACATGGCTCTTAAAGGATAGTATGGAATTTTGATTGGTAAGATTAGGAGGGAAAGAGAAAAAGAAAGATACAGAAGATAAAGAAAGAAATCCTGTGTCCTCTAAACCAAACTTTGCTTAAGGGTGAGAAATGAGATCTGTAATGCGAAAGCATACATTTGAGCCAAAAATGTGTCATCACAATTTTTAAAAAAATCTTATATATGTATCTGTATTTTGTATTTGTACAAATTATTTTGTCTTTCATGGTTTTGTTCTCTTGTCTTGATATTCTCATTGATTATTTGGGTTTCTATTGTAGACTAATGTAAAAGATTCCAAACAAACTTTAAGTGAAATTTTTTCTAATATGTTGCCTGTTTAGCTCTTGATTATAAAGAATGTACTCATTTCACCATTCAGTTTCTTTGGTGCGTCCTACAGTTTTGCTTACGCGATGTTTTCATACCTGTACAGTAAGGTGAAGGTATTCTGGGCTGCACCAGTTCTGCTCCCTGGAGAAGAGTAGGTAGTTCCAGGACTAGCGTGGGAACTAACTTACTTAGCTAGAAAAAACTTTGGGCTTTATCTTAGTTGTGAAATGAGTGTTTTTTCTTCTTTGTTAGAATTGCTCTAAATATGATCCTTGAACTCAGATAATTACTCTTCAGAATGTTAAATAAAAGCAACCTAAGTAAAAGGAGAGCATATTTCTTTGTGCTTCCTGTTTGAGAAATCCAGTTGCTTGCAGTGCACATGTTCAACAATTCCTCTGATTCAGCCTTCAAAAAATAACTAGTAAAAATTGAAGGGGGGAAAACAGCAGCAAAAATCATTGCTGATTCCAGTTTAAGGTTAAAATAAGGGATTTTTAGCTTGGATGATTTACATAGAAACCCTTCAGTTTTTCCTTCAGTTTGGTTTGATCCCATGTTAAGAATTATGTAAATTCTGCCCTTGAAGTTTGCAGATAAATTTCAAGCTTATTATAATCAACAGTGCTGGGAAGGAGAAGTATTAGCTATTCTAAAAGTCAAAAAGTTAGTAGCAGAGTCCATAAATTTAAAAGCAATAAAGGGAACAAACATAAAATCATCTTTTGTGCCACAGAAAAGATTGGTGACATTTTAGAATAAGGGAAAACATTTATATGTGGGCTAAAATTGCAGTCTTTCTGAATCTGATCCTAGGAATTATAACCATTTGGGAAAGTAGAAGTGATTACCTCATGAGCAAGATGATAAAACTATCATCATAGATTAAATTCGAATATTTTTTTATCCACTAATTGAAAAATTCACTCTCATTTTATGCATATTTAATAGTACTATTCAATTTGATATTTGAAGCTTTCAGATCATTTTAGAGGCATCATGTGATTACAAAGCATTTGAATAGTTGCAATGTACTAGATATGGCCCCAAACTTCCAATTAGACACTAGGTAAATGGCCCTGCCCAGTTAATTTAAATCTTGAAAAAGAGGGAATAGATTAAAAATACCAGAGAAAAGCAAGCAAGCAGTGCTGTGTGGGTTTCAAAGAAAATGTAGCTACAAAACCTACGTTTCATTTCCAGGAGTGTCAGAAAAGGGTATCCTAAGACTTGAATCCTGTCACATTTTTCAAAAAGAGGTCTACTGAGTTTCCCCTCCTTTGAGTGATTGCCGTCTTTTGATGAAATGCTAGAGGGGAGCTCGCCTGCTCAGGACGGCACCTGAGAGCAAGGCTCCTGCCTGCCGTCCCCTGGGGCGCGTGCGGGCGTGTGCTTCTAGGCTAGATCTGAGTTCACCGCGAAGAGACTCCTGATGTCTCGCCGCTGCCCAAATCAGACTAGACCAGGATCGAATGCCACACAGGCCAGGCAGGAAATGGACCTAGTGTGCAAGACAGTAGGGCACTGCGGGCCATGCAAGAAACGGGAGGGCTGTGCCCCAGTGGAAAGGACAAGGACTGCGACTACCGAGCTTCAGGCAGTTGCAGCATTATGTGGGAGTGGGGGCTGCATGATGCTTAACGGGACGATTGATAAAAAGATGGCAAAAGATACAGAACATAGAGAAGAATATGGGAAATTTACAGATAACACGCACTCCGGGAGGTAATATAGCATGCTTCCCAGAAAAGCAGGGCTTCCCAGTCCCTGTGGTGGCCTACCGCTCCTCCTCCTGCCGCCCGCCAGGCCTGCGTCTGTCCTTCTCTTGGGGTGGAGGGAAGCTGTGGTTAATAGTCTCCTGCCCCCCTTAACCCTCCGCTACCTGCCTGTGTTAGAGACTTGCGCTGTGTGCCCACCTACCTAACAGGTGCTGGCACCAGGCATAAAACATAAGGGGGTGGCATTTCTGAGTGTTTCGTGCAAGACTGGATGAAGCAGGATAGCTTCTTTCTGTAGGTCCAGACAGTAAGCTGGTAAGAGGTGTATTTCCGCATTTCACTCCTTGATTTAAGGTTCTGTATTCTCACAGTATCAATGCAGCAAGGTTATTGTTCTTTGGCTTTCTAAAACATTTCTGGCAACACTGAGAGAAACCAAAGAAATCTTACCATAGTTTCTATTTGAACTACCTAGTGAGGAGATAGATATTGTTCTAGTTAAACAAATTAAGGTACTCCACATTCTTCCACCAATGGAATGTTTTGTGTCTTGTACATACTTTTTAAAAAATGGTAAGTTATATTTATTGAGTGCTTTCTATCTGCCAGTCATTGTGATATATCTAAAATGAATCGTCTCAACATTCAGAATAACCACATGAGGTATGAGCTACATTTTACAAATGAGGAAAGTGAGGATTACGGAAGTCAACTTGCTGACAACAAATAAGTGCAGAAATGGGATTTACCCAGATTTGGTTGACAGAAACTTACGCCAAGTTTCCTTGAGAGCTCTCAAAAGGCAAAGGATGTTATTTTATTCCTTATATAGCATACTGACCATTATAATGTTGGATACATAGGAAAATGTTTAGTAAGCGGGTTTTTTTTTTAATGATGATTGGATGGATATCCAGATTTTGGACAAAGTTTGGCGGCGATACAGTCGGCCTGTTCACACATGTAACAACATAGATGATTCTTCATTCCATGGTTAAAAGTCATTTTTTAAAAAGGAACGAGAAATGGTACTGTTATCCTGTTTGTGGTGCTAATAAACACTAGTATAAGTAATTACTGTTAATGTAATTTGGCTTTTTAATAATCTTTATATTTTACCTTTCTTAGCATATTTATATGTATCATCTACCTTTTAGAATTTCAGGGAAATTTCAGGGGCTAATTTTTGGTCCCTGTGTTGCTGTAGAGTCTCTAGTTTATAGAAAAAATAACTTATTTGGAGCAGGGGATATATTGTAGAAAGATAAGACCAACTGAAGGTGTTTCCCCATCATTTTATTATGAAAAATTTCAAATATACAGCAAAGTTGACAGAATTTTATGGTAAATACCCAAATACCAACCACATGGATTCTACATTTCACTCTACATTGTTTTATTATGTATCTATCCATGCTACTTTTATGATTCATTTCAAAATAAGTTACAGACATTGGCATCCTTTCCCTAATACTTCAACATGCATATCTTTAAATAGAGTTTAATTTTGTTTAGTTTTTAAATTTTTTGATGTACACTTATATGCAATGAAATGAACACATGTTAAGTATAAATTTGCTGAGTTTTTGCAAATGCACACACCTGTGTACCCCAAACCCTTTACAAAGTTCAGAACATTGCAGTCATCCCAGGAAGCTCATGCCCCTTTCTAGTCAATCCCACTCCACCATCAAATGTAACTACTGTTCTGATTATTTTGCCTCACGGATTAAATTTGCCTATTCTAAAGCATTATATAAGTGATATCATACAAAGCATAATGCTTCTTTCACTCTGTGTTTTTGAGATTCAGTGGTACATTTCTTTTAATTGCCTAGTCTTTTGTATGAATATGTCACAGTTTGTTTTTTCCATTTTCCTGTTGATGGACACCTGGGCTGTTTCTGGTTTTTGAAAAACTGTTGTGAATAAAACTGCTGTGAATATTTGTGTGCAATGTCTTTATTCCTCTTAGGTAAACATCTGAGGATGAAATTGTTGGGTGCTAGAGTAGGTGTATGTTGAGATTAGTGACAGACTGCCAGACCGTTTGCCCAACTACGTCTGAGACTTCCAGTTCCTCCATATTTCCTCCAATATTTGTGGTGGTTTATTTTTTTTATCTTAGTGTTTCTGGTGGGTGTATAATCTTTTCTAGTTGATACTTAGATTGTTTCTACTTGTTCCTGGCAGCCCTCCCTTCAGGTCAACCTCTTTACTCTTTCTAACAGCCCCCCCCCAATCAGAAACTGCTAAAAACATTCTTTTTTGTGTGCTAATAGTTAAGAGAACTCAAAACCAGCTTGAATTACTCTTTTCCAAATGTGGGATACATTGCTCATCGGGGAGCCCTGCGTCCTTTAATGAAGACCAACACTAGAGAACAGACCTGGGTTCCTAAGGGTACACGTTTAGACTGTTCCACATAACTGGTGGAGCTGGTCAAAATGGCACCAGAGAAGAGGCTCCATAAAACATTGTAATAAAAGAATATGGCCATTTTCTTTAAAGGCTATGTGTTTATGTTATTTCTAAATCAGGAGAATTTCTGCTCTAGTATGACAGCATATTAAACAAGCTGTATGTGTCCTTTCCCCATAACTATATTGGATCCCAGTGTGGTTTGAATTTGTATTTCTTTATTAACTAATGATGGTAAGCACATTCTCATGTGTTTATTTTCCATGTGTGAATTTTACATTTTATTTAAAAATGTATTGAGGTATAATGGACATACAACAAAATGGACATATTTGAAGTGTACAGTTTGATAAGTTTTGCCTCATGTACGTCCATGAAACCATCACCAAAATCAAAATAATAAACATATCCATTAACCCAAAGAGTTTTCCCTTGCTCCTTCATAATCCCTCCCTCCTGCCTCTCTCCACTTTCTAAGGCAACCACTAATCTGTTTCTGTCATTTTAGGTTAGTTTTGAGTTTTCTAGAATTTTATATAAATGGAATCACACAGTAAGTACTTTTTTTTGGCTGCTTTCGCTCATAGTTATCCATCTGTGTTACATGTAGCAATAGTTCATTTCTTTTAATTTCTTAGTAGTAATCCATTGTTTATACATAACCACAATTTAATACATTTACCTGTTAATGCACATTTGGGTTGTTTCTATTTTTTGTCTATTACAAATAAAGCCACTTGAACATTTGCAGATAAATTTGTATAGACATGTGCTTTATTTCTGTTTGGTAAAAACCAAGGGGGAAATGGCTGGGTCATACATTAGGTATTATACTTAACTTTTTAAAAAGCTTTCAAATTGTTTTTCCAAAATGGCTGTACCATTTTATATTTCCATCATCAGTATATGAAAGTTTCAGTTGCCCCAAATCCTTGCCAGCATTTGGTATCATCAGTCTTTTAAATTTTAGATATTTAGTTTAGGTTTTACATTTAGATTTCTAATCAATTTTTGTTAATTTTTTGTGTATGGTACAAGGCATGGATCAGAGTTTGTTTTGGTTGGGTTGGTTTTTTGGTTTTTTTTGCATGTGGGTATCCAATGCATAGGGAATAGCATGCATTCTTTCACCATTAAGTATGATATTAGCTGTAGGTTGTTCATAGATGCCCTTTATCAATTTGAGGAAGTT